AGGGACATGTCCCTACCAAAATGTTGGACCGACCTACTTGTCCCTGCCAATAATTCGGTGTGAATAACATGTTTATGATTTACAGTACAGCGTTTTTGCAGCAGTTGCTCCTCTCGCAGCTTTGCTGCCTGGTAGCTGCTGCTGCTGCTCCGTCTGACTTCCTGTCCGGTCTTTCCTGTCCCTAAAGACAGTGACTGTGCTGTGCTGTTTAACTCTAGTCTCACATAAAACTTTTTTCATGCTAGAATAGCATGAATACCACAGTTGATATTAGGCTATAAAACTAGCCCCATTTAAAAAAACAAAAAATGATCTACGCTAAAACAGGCGAAAGCTGCTGATTTGAAGTTCTATAAAGAAGCAGGAAAGACAGGTTTGGTTTGTGGACCAACGTTAGCATTTCAAAATTATAATTCCTAAGTATAATACATTTTATCAACAAAACTCTTTTTTTCTTTTATAAACTAAATATTCGAGGTCAGACAGTAGTTCTGCACACTGCTGGACAAATAAGCAAAGACTGTAAACTATCAAAAACTCTGATTCTTAGCCACAGCTGACTGAAAAAGTGAGTTTTTCCCTTTAATCAATACTTCTATAATATTACTGTTTTCATTATCTGATTAACCTTTGAGGCAGTTCAGTTATAAATAGCAAACGTTATTCCTTTTATAGAGTATCAACACAACATGCTTAGAGAGCATAATAAAGGTTCCACATAATAATAGTGCTATCCAATTGTATATTTCTAATTCTAGAAATAGGACAGAGACAATGAGAGGAACATTATTTCCTATGATTTATGTAGATTTCCACACAGCCAGTAAGTAAATTAGTACAAACAGTCTCCAGTAAGAATGCTTGAATCTGGCTGTTTATTTTAGATACTATTACATTACAGATAAGATAGTGTTATGTTGTCTTTTATTATTGTTAAAAGCGACTTTATATTTGAATAAACGTAGGCTCATTCTTAGAGTTGTGCTTTATAGATGATGCCACTAAAAAAGAAAATAGACATAGGGAGCTATTTTCACACTCACAGTAAGTAACATAGGATGATATGAAAGGTTGTTTTACATTTAATCCATTAACATTAAAGGAAAATTCCGGTTTTTAACACTTTTAGCCCATTTTCTGTAGTGTCCAGGATGAAATCGAATGATCGACACCAAAATTTTGACAATTGGTCCTGTC